CTATATGCCTTTGGCCTTGACAAAAATCCTGATCAGGTTTAGGTCTGGCTGTAAATAAAAGGTCCTGTCAGAGAAACCCGGGACAAAATTTTGGTGGCCAATAATAGGTGTCAGTGGAGTTCCAGTAGAGTAGATTCGATCAAAGGATGTGGGGAAGAAAATCTGGAGAAAAGAACTCCAGACCATGGAAGGCCAGCAAGTGAAAACGGTACTGATTCCTGTTCCAGAGATACTCAGAACTTACAAGAGGAATGTCTTCACCAGTCGACTATTCTAAACATGTGAACTGACATGCAGTACAAGGAGGCCAACCCCCCCTCTGAGCTTTAGTCGTAGTAGGAGGGATCGTTTCAGCACTTTAATGATTTTTAATGCACAAAAACACAATATATAACCCAATTTTTGATAAAGTATAAAAAATTATCTTACGCTGAGTGAATAGATACCTAACATGTCAGCTTTAAAATTGCACACAAAATACGGTACTTAAAAATCTCCATAAGCAACACTTTAAAAATGTTTACAGGTTACCAGTTTAAAATTACAGAGGAGGTCTAGCGCTAAAAACTTTTGCTCTCAGTATAACGTTATATAATACCTCACATGTGTTGTTCGAATGGTGTTTACATATGTGGGAGTGACCTACGTATGTATTTGCTTCTCCGTGCGAGCACGAGGAGATGGGGCGCTTTTAAAACATTTTTATTATTTATTTTATTTTTACACTTTTTTTACAATAGCTCACAATAGCAAAGAGCCTCCCAACCAGGTCAGATGTATAACCAAATTCCACAACAACTTTCACAAAATGGAGTCTATCATCAATAGACATTGGCCGATACTACTACAGGATCCACATTTAATAGACATTTTAGATAAAAAACCAAAATACACCTACCTCAAAGCCATCAACCTTAAAAACAAGATTGCCCCCAGCAAATACAACCCACCCACCAACACACCCAACACAATCTGCCTCATACCCATTGTCGGCATGTATAGATGCAACAAAGCACTATGCAAAACTTGCCAATTCGTTAAACACGGACAAAAAAACTTCACCACAAAAGGAAAAAACTTATTCATTCAAAGAATTTTACAACTGCTCCACTGATCATGTGATCTATTGTATATCCTGCCCTTGCGGCCTCCTATATGTGGGACGCACCATCAGACCCCTCCGCGCCAGGTTTGGCGAGCACAGACGTCTTATTGAAGATGGTAAAGACAAACATAGCGTCCCCCGCCACTTCCTTGAATATCACCAAAAATCCACTAATGGCCTACAAGTATGGGTCTTAGAATCCATACACAACAATCTCTCTGAGTCTGATCGTCTCAAAAAACTCTGTTCACAAGAAACTTATTGGATATTTACATTAGATACATTGTCCCCAGGTGGACTCAACGAGGAATTAGACATTAACACTATACTATAAACACTACAATCTCCCATTCACAGCCACTCAACACTCACAATGATACTCCCCCCCCCCCTTTTTTTTTTTTTTTTAAATCAAATTTTTTTATTGAATTTGTTATCGAATTTTATCAAATTTTTTTTATCAAATTTGTTTGTTTTTTTTTTGTTTTTTTTTTTTATTCATTTTTTAATCCAATTTTTAGTTTATTATTTAGAACCTTTTGTTCATTATTTATATTTTTATTCTATTTTTTACAATGTAATTTACTCTTTATAATGTCATTTGCATGTATTATTACCAATATGTTTATCATCTTACCATGTTAACACCCATTGTCAATATACCCGCTAGCAACATGTATATATGTTATAATTATTATGAAGCTCCTGTAGAGCCATAACCATATCCCACCTTGCAATCATGCTGTATTACCACTAAATATCTGCTCACTACTGTTACATAATTGATGTGCCAGTGCTGCAAGGTGAACATTTTACCCCACTAATCTCCCAGAATATAATTTTTTTTTTCTTTGTTTCTTTTTGTATTCTTATTACCCCCATCAACTTTTTTCACATAGCTTCTTCGATTTTCAGCTGTTCAAAAATCTTTTATTGATGTCATTTTTCATTTCATTAATTTTTTAATTTTTTTTTTTTCATAATTTTTTTCATTTTATCATTTTTCTTTCGTCGTTTCCGTTTTCTTATTTATTACATCCTCTCTTTTTTCCATTTGGTTTCCTTTACCCCCCCCCATTTAACATCCATGACTTTACACTATTCACCTGACAGCAATGGTCAATCACTGGTTAATTGGTTAATTGATCAATTTAGACTCACGTTCCCTATATATTCACCCCTGTTCATCCACCTCCCCCTGCTTGAAAAAGGAGTGCACTTCCGCCTTCCACGGCCAGTGCATGCTCCGAAACGCGTTGCAGTGCACCCTGGGATCTGACGTCATCACGGCCACGCCGCCGCTACGTTCCAGCGTGCGTTCCATCCGGCTCTGAGGGAGGACGTGCACGCCGACCGGCCTCACCGCTGTTCCCCTCCAGCCACCACGCTGTTCCAGCCGAGAGCTGACCTCCCCACATCGCAGTAAGATGACGGCTCTTCACCCGGGTTACCACCCCACCGTTAACTATTGTTAACCACGGTTAAGCTTATGATTACTTCACACATGTGAGTGTTTCTACATTTAGACTTAAATTAAAAGACTTATTGCACTTAGAGGCGCTTCTCTCCTTTTTCTCATCTACAGCAGCAAATACACACCACTTTCATTTCAAGTAATTTGGGGGGATCCTGTAAAAGATAGCAGGGAGAAATGTCACCGTCACACCAAAGATCTCCAATATGGGTCCAAGAGGGCTTTAATGAAGGTTTACATAGTTACAGCAATGTAACTATGTAAACCCCTTCATCAAGCATGTGACCGTCAGATGTCTGATGAAGGGGTCCTGCAAAGCTCTGAAACATTGCCTTTCTGTAACCATGTAAACCTTTATTAAAGCCTTTTTGGACCCATATTGGAGATCCTTGGTGTGTCGGTGATATTTCTCTCCATTGTCTCCAGCCGATGGTCGCTGCAGCACGCACCTATGCATACAGCCATTTCTTGCAGGAAAGTGTGCGTTGGGATTGTGCATTTTCATTTTACCCTGTAAAAGATAAGATATGGCATCACTGACAAGAACTGCCCAAGTGGAGAATGAAGATTGCATTGGTGCCAATGTGCTGGTCACCAGTACTGAGGTCTGTCGATTGAGGGGAGGTCATAAGCTTATCATACCACTGAACTACCAATGTAAGAGGAAACTGTCCCAGGGAGCAGATGTCTCCATTGCTAGTGGGGGCTGACCCCTCATTTAATCCTGCCCTGCCTTCATCTCCTGAGCTCCATCCTGCATATGACTTGTCCCTACTTTCCCGATCTGCTCTCATTTTTCCTTCGTCCTTTGCCTCCTTGTTCCATCCTAAATGTGCTTCAACCCGACTTTCTTTAGCCTGTTATATTTGCAGTCCCTTTTGTTCTGCTGCAATATAGGCAGCTCTCTGGGGTCCAGTGGGTGGGAAAGGGCCTTGGTAAAGACACAGTAGTTTACTAGGCCTTTAATCTGTTGCGCAGAACTGTGCAAAAAAGTTCCCTCTCTCTTATGCAGCACAAATATATCCCTTCTCTTTATCTCCCCCATGACGGACCTTCTCACTGGACTGCCCCTCACAATAAAGATGCCCTCACAAAAGGACAAACTCTTTCCCTTACACACATGAACATGAATATGAACACAGGGTAGGCCCTCTCTCTTACAAGACAGGTGCTCAACCACTAGACAGCTTCTCTCCCTAAAGATGGGGCACTTTAAGAGGACAGTATCTCTTTTTCTCTCTCATAGTATTCAAAAGACAATCCATCTTTACAGACCAGGGATATTGAGAGCTCCAATTTGAAGTAAAAGGCAAAATAGGTTTTGGAGATCTTCCAAGTGTTCAGGAAGGATGTAGTTACTTATTCTTACAGGTATTTATATAGCGCCAACAATTTACAAGGCACTTTACATACTGTACATGTACATACATCTCTGTCCTCAAGGAGCTTATAATCTAAGGTTTTATGTCACATGCATACATATAAGATGGCTAATAATCAGGTATTGATGGGGATCTCAAAGCTGTAGCATTATTCTAGCAGCCAATTGACCTACCAGCGTGTTTTTGGGGTGGGGATGGGGGACCAAACTACCCAGAGGAACCCAACCAAGTACAGAGAGAATATGCAAACTCCATGCAGATGGTGTCCAGGTTGATATTTGCTCCACCTATGCTGCATGACAGAAACGGGAACCACTCGTGTTGTGCTTACTAGTAAAGGTACTTGCAAGTAGCTTTAGTGTTTACTCTTTAGTTAATAATGAGCTATTGATGGGGATCCCTAAGCTATTGTTCTGCCTGGGACCACATATAGCAGTGATGGCGAACCTTTTTCAGCCCGAGTGCCCAAACTGCAACACAAAACCAACTTTTTTATTTCAAAGTGCTAACACTGGAATTAATCACTTGCCTACCGGGCACTTCTACCCCCTTCCTGCCCAGGACAATTTTCAGCTTTCAGTGCTGTTGCACTTAACAATGACAATTGTGCGGTCATGCAACACTGTAACCATATGCAATTTTATCATTTTTTCACACAAATAGAGCTTTTTTTGGTGATATTTAATCACCACTGGGTGTTTTATTTTTTGCACTATAAATGAAAAAAGAGCAAAAAATGAAAAACATAAAAGGTTTCCTTTGCTTCTATTCTAAAATTTTGCAAACAGGTAATATTTCTTCTTTGGTGTGAGTTGGTGAGGCTGCACTGATAGGCAGCACTGATGGGCATTGATGAGGCGGCACAGATAGGTAGCACTGATGAGGCGGCACTGGTGAGCATTGATGAGGAGGCACTGATGATGCACTGATATGCAGGAAATGATAAACACTGATAAGCGGCACTGACTGATAGCACCAACTGGAGGCACTGACCGGCGGGGTACTGCTGGGCATCATTGATGGGTGGCACTGATGGGCAGCACTAATGAGGTGTCACAGATAGGTGGCACTGATATGCGGCACTGATTGGTGGCACTGATAGGCGACACTGATAATGGGTACTGATAGACAGCACTGATAGGTGGCACTGACTGACATCACTGCTGGGCACTGACTGGCGGCACTGCTGGGCACTGACTGGCACAACCGCTGGGCACTGACTGGAGGCACTGACTGGCAGCACTGCTGGGCTGCACTGATGGGCACTGGTGGGTGGCACTTCTGGGCACAGGTGGGCGGCACAGGTGGGCATAGGTGGGTGCATTGCTGGGCACAGGTGGGCGCACTGCTGGGCACAGGTGGGTGCATTGCTGGGCACAGGTGGGCGGAACTTGTGTGTGGCACTGCTGGGCACCAATCATCAGGGCACTGATGATCAGTGACCCTGATGATCGGTACCATTCCCTGCTCTGACAACTGCCGGTTTTCGACAGTACTTTCCCCACGATCTGACAGCGTGAGGAAAGTGCAGCCGAGAACTGGCATTTGCATTTCCCGGTGATCAGCGTGTCATTGGACACGGCTGATCACGTGGTAAAAGGCCGCTGTGATTGGCCTTTTACCATGTCACGTGATCAGCTGTGTCTGTAGGACACAGCAATCACGGAGATCGCACAGTGCGCGCCCCCGGGGGTGCGCAGGAGAGCGCGCTCTTCCTCTTCTTCCTGGCGTGCCCACTGAGATGGCTCTGCGTGCCAGCTCTGGCACGCGTGCCATAGGTTCGCCATCACTGACATATAGCATGAATCCAGCCCTGTTATGATTTTGACTAACTACTCCCCCTACTCTCTTACTACTCCCTCCTTCCAACCCATTCTGTCCTTTACATACACTGACACATAATCTTGATGGCTCCAGTTTCCACCTTTGCTAGTAATTATAATGTGAAAGCATATTCTGATTACCATCCACCTATGCTTATTTATATGATTTTATTTAGACCCTGGGAAATGAAACCTGTACATGCTTTTCGTTAATTTCAAACCAACAATAATAATAGTCCATAATAAATCTTCACACATGGGCCTAATTATTCTAACATTTACCATTTGAGAGATGGTCAAGCCTATTACTTGCTATACATTTGGGGGTGTTAAAACTAATTATTGACCTTGATGTCTTTGTTGGTTTTTCAAGGAAAACTATTTACATTTCATCATCTCTTTTTACTGTTTTTGTCCTTTATTGCATGGTAGCTAGGTCTTCATTTTACTTATCTATAAGTGAATGTTCTATTTTGCCTAGAGTTCAAGGACAAAGGGTTCCTTAATTTGCGCTTAAAGTGGTTCCAGGGGCATAACTATAGGGGTCGCTAGGGTTGCAATTGTGACCCAGCCCAATGCCACCCTCACTCATGCTTGCTTGCACACTACCGCTGCTCAAGAGCAGCAAGTGTGCGGTGTGTGATTATGAAATGACAAGCCTGCGTTGGCCACTCATGAAGCAAGAGACGTTTTGGAGGGATTTGGAGTATTGCAGTCCCAAGAGGTGAGAGGCAGAGATGGGAAAGGGGGGAGGGGGGACGGGGTCTGCTGCTGGGCACAGATAGAGAAGTGTGTGGATGAAAGGGGGTGTGTTCTGGAAACAGAGGGAGAGGTGTGCGGATTGGGTACTGGGCACAGAGGGAGGGCGTGAGCTGGGAACAGAGTGAGCAGTGTGTGGATATTGGGGGGGGGGGGGGGCGGGGAGCTGGGAAAAGAGGAAGAGGTGTGTGGATAATTTGCTGGGAATAGAGGGAGAGGTTTGTGGATGGGGGAAGGGGGAGAGACAGAAGAGAGACATGTGGATAAGGAAGTGCTCGGCACAAGAGGGAGAGGTGTGAATAAAGTGAATAAGGGGTGCTGGGCACAGGAAGGAGAGCCGTGGACAGGAATCTGCTTGGCACACAAAAGAGAACTGTGGATAGTGGGGTGCGGGGCACAGGGAAGATGGCTGTGGATAGTAGGATGCTGGGCACAGGAGGGAGGGGTGTAAAGAATGGGTGCTGGGCACAGGATGGAGATCTGTGGATAAGGATGCTGGGCACAGGAAAGAGAAGTGTGGATAAGGAGTGCTGGGCACAGGAGGGAGAAGTGTGAATAAGGAGTGCTGGGCACAGGAGGGAGAAGTGTGGATAAGGAGTGCTGGGCACAGGAGGGAGAAGTGTGGATAAGGAATGGTGGGCACAGGAGGGAGAAGTGTGGATAAGGAATGAATGGTGGCACAGGAGGGAGAAGTGTGGATAAGGAATGGTGGGCACAGGAGGGAGAAGTGTGGATAAGGAGTGCTGGGCACAGGAGGGAGAAGTGTGGATAAGGAGTGCTGGGCACAGGAGGGAGAAGTGTGGATAAGGAATGGTGGGCACAGGAGGGAGAAGTGTGGATAAGGAATGGTGGGCACAGGAGGGAGAAGTGTGGATAAGGAGTGCTGGGCACAGGAGGGAGAAGTGTGGATAAGGAGTGCTGGGCACAGGAGGGAGAAGTGTGGATAAGGAGTGCTGGACACAGGAAGAAGAAACGTGGATAAGGAGTGCTGGGCACAGGAGGGAGAAGTGTGGATAAGGATTGGGCAGTTCTGGGAGTGCATCATATGACAACCTCCCAGAACGCGCCCCCGGTAGCGCGCACCTGGTGCTGACTGTGATCACTGTGTCCTATGGACACAGCTTATCACATGACTAGGTAAAAGGCCAATCACAGTGACCTATTACCACGTGATCAGATGTTCAATAACACAGCAGATCACAAAGTAAATACAGTTGCTGATTATCGGCAGCACTTTCCTCACACTGTCACAGCATGAGGAAAGTACTGCCATTAACCGGCAAATGTCACAGAGGACATCCTCACTGATAATCAGGGCACTGATGATCAGTGCCCTGATGATCAGTGCCCAGCAGTGCCTCCCATTAATGCCACCCATCAGTGTCCAGCAGTACCACCCACCAGTGCTGCCCAGTAGTTGAGCTAATCAGTGCCCATCAGTGCCACCCATCAGTGCTGCCAGTCAGTGCCATCAGTCAGTGCCACCAATCAGTGCTGTCAGTCAGTTCTGCAAGTCAGTGCCACCCATCAGTGCCAATAAGTGTCACCTGTTAGTGCCCATCAGTGCTGCCTGTCAGTGACCATCAGTGCCCTTCATTGCTGCATATCAGTGCAGCATCATCAGTGCCTCCTCATCAATGCCCACCAGTGCTGCCTCATCAGTGCCACCTCATCAGTTAGTGCCCATCAGTGCTGCCTATCAGTGACCATTAGTGCTGCTTATCAGTGCAGCCTCATCAGTGAAGGAGAAAAATGACCTGTTTGCAAAATTTTATAATAGAAACAAAGAAAAAAACATTTTTTTCAAATTATTTTTGCTTTTTTTTTGTTTACAGGGCAAAAAATAAAACCCCCAGTGGCGACTAAATACCACCAAAAGAAAGCTCTATTTGTGTGAAAAAAAATTGTAAAAATTTCATATGGGTAAAATTTTACATGATCGCGCAATTGTCATTCAAAGTGCAACTGCAGTGAAAGCTGACAATTGCCCTGGGCACAAAGGGGGTAAGTAGCTAAAAAATAAATTTCTTTAGAATCACTTTAAAAAGAGATGGTTATACAACTGAATGTGATTCCAATACTCCTAGCCAAAGGACAATGTGGGTATACTGTCCATGGCTATATTATTTAATCAAAATATGATACTTTCCTGATGCGTAAATAGTATGCCTGGCTGCCTGGTCAGTCAGTATATTTGAAAAAAATTGAAAGCCCTATATGACCACACCCATGGGATAATTTCCCATTTGTTGCAGTGTTGTATAACAATTTGTACACCAATATTGCTTTTGCGCCACTTATTGAAAAATTGTGATCTTTAGACATTAGATATTATTGGAGCTTTCTGGAAGAATTATTTAGCCAAAGCCGTGAATGCATCATGTTGGTGACCACTTTTGTTCTACATAAATGTTGATTTTATTTTTATATTCTTCACTTACCTTTTTGACATAATCAATGGGGTAGAAAACGTGTCCCAGCAGCAGAATAGGCCTTCCTAGCCATAGGACTGGGCTTATGTCCTGCCTGGGGGTCACTTTTTCCCTTTTCCTTTAATTGCACAGCTACAGTAGTAGAGCTTCTGGTTGCTTACAATAGTGGTCTCCTAACTGCAGGCGGTCATATGCGGCCCTTGTTTGCTTTTATCAGGTCCTTGGGGAACTATTTTATCCACTGTAACCAACAATGGGACACAATTCAACTCCCACTGACCCCAATGATGGGGCATAAATCCTCCTAATGACACCAATGATGGGCCACAATTTCTCCCAATGACAAAAACAATTGTGTCCAATGACAACAACGATGGGGCACAATTCCTCCCACTGACACCAAATATGGGGCACTGTTTTTTTCCCACTTGCGGCGGGACCTTTTCAACTCCGAGTGTCCATAGCATGGCCCTGTAAAGTCTGAAGAACAGTAAACTGGCCCCTTGTTTAGGAAGTTTGGAGACCCTTGGCTTAGAACAGGGGTGGGCAAACTTTTTGACTTGAGGGCCGCAATGGGTTCATATATTGGACCCGGGGGCCGGACCAAGAGTAGATGAATGATGTGTATGTGTCATCCATAGTAAGTATAGTAATATTCCCCCATAGTAAGCATAGTAATTAATCCCCCATAGTAATTAATCCCCCATATAGTAATTCATCCCCCATAGTAATTCATCCCCCATATAGTAATTCATCCCCCATAGTAATTCATCCCCCATATAGTAATTCATCCCCCATATAGTAATTCGTCCCCCATATAGTAATTCGTCCCCCATATAGTAATTCGTCCCCCATAGTAATTCATCCCCCCCTATAGTAATTCATCCCCCATAGTAATTCATCCCCCATATAGTAATTCATCCCCCATAGTAATTCATCCCCACATAGTAATTCATCCCCCACATAGTAATTCATCCCCCACATAGTAATTCATCCCCCATATTAATTCATCCCCCATATTAATTCATCCCCCATATAGTAATTCATCCCCCATAGTAATTCATCCCCCACATAGTAATTCATCCCCCTATAGTAATTCATCCCCCATATTAATTCATCCCCCATATTAAATTCATCCCCCATATAGTAATTCATCCCCCATATAGTAAGTCCCCCATATAGTAAAAATTCATTCCCCATATAGTAAGTCCTCCATATAGTAATTCATTCCCCATATAGTAAGTCCTCCATATAGTTAATTCCCCATATAGTAAGTCCCCCATATAGTAATTCATTCCCCATATAGTAAGTCCTCCATATAGTAATTCATTCCCCATATAGTAAGTCCCCCATATAGTAAGTCCCCATATATAGTAATTCATCCCCCATATAGTAAGTCCCCCCCCTGTGTCAATTCACTTACCTTTGGTCCGCGCGTTCCTCTTGTATTCCCGCGCCGTTTGGTCTTCAGGGAGGACTGTGAGAGGAGTTCGTCACGCTGCCCCGCCTACATCCTGGCTGCCCCCGCCTACATCCTGACAGCTGCAGAGTCCTGACGTCCGAGAGGAGGGAGGGGGGCGGCCATCCGAGAGGGGGGGCGGCCATCCGAGAAGAGAGGAGGGGAGAGGAGGAGGGGGAGGGAGGGGAGAGGAGGAGGAGGAGGGTGGGGAGAGGAGGAGAGGAGGGAGGGGAGCGGGCGCCCTGGCACACAGGAGAGCCGCATCTAAATTTGTAAAGAGCCGCGGCTTGCCGACCACTGGCCTTGCGGGAGCCTAGCTCCGCGGGCCGGATTAAAAGGTCCGCCGGGCCGTATACGGCCCGCGGGCCGTAGTTTGGAGACCCATTGCTGGCTTAGAAGCTACAATATAACAGAATCCAGCATATGACAGGGAACTTTGGTTTGTTTTCTTTTTTGTTTTTGCAGAAGAAACATGCGTTTTCTTTTTTGCAATAAAGGATTCTTACCATCTTCTCTATGCATAGCTCAGTGTACAATTCTGGTATCTGCTGGGTGGGGCGGATGAATTATCTCCTTCCTGCAAGTGCTGGGGTTAATTCATCACTGTCTGGCCAATCAAAATGGCTGAAGCTTACAAACCTGGAAGAAGCTGATAAGATAACAGTGCCAGGGACGAAGCTTGGGTACGTTGCATCGCTGAAGCAGAGGTGAGTATATTTCCACATTAAATTGACCTTGCACTCCATGCAAGTCTACCTGTCTAGTGTGTCCCTCTCAATTTCAAACTGTCTCGAAAGAGAAGAAAAAACACATTTGGAGAGTAAAATTTAGTTAATTTACTTACCTTTCACTTGATTTCTGTAATGTGTGGGGTGACATCAGCATCAGCGCAACAAAGTCACAGGGAAAGACAAGCAGCACATATCTCACAAGATGACCTTACAGCACAGTGCAGTGGCATTATCTTGTAAGATTTGGGCTATTCAGCATTTGCCTGGATCTTGCCAGAAAGATTTTTATTATTATACAGGATTTATATAGCGCCAACAGTTTGCTCAGCGCTTTACAATGTAACGGGAGACAATACAGCAACAATACAGTTATTTATTATTTATTTCAGGTACTTATATGGCGCCATCAATTTACGCAGCGCTTTTACATATATATTGTACATTCACATCAGTCCCTAACCCTCAAGGGGTGTACAATCTAAAGTCCCTAACTTACATTTATACATACACATACTAGGGACAATTTAGACAAGAGCCAATTAACATACCAATACAAAGGGCTCCTTGGAGCTTACAATCTAAGAGATGGCAACGTCAACCCCTCCTAGGTGCTACAAGCAGAGGCAAGGTAAGTTTGTAAAATATTTTTTATACCCCCTAAGGTGTATTTTTTCTTTTTTTTGCAGTATTTTAAGATGGAGGCACTTTGAGCAAGGGGAGCTTGCAATTTTAGTGCAAGGTCTGCTATAAGGAGATAGGCTGTTGCAACATTGTAAACATTAGTGGGCATGCCTGATAGGCACAAGAAGCTTTTAAAGCCCTGTTTGCCATAATAGTCAAGTGACAAAGGCTTTAAGTAAGTCAAGCACCAGTAGGTTCAGGGCCCTCAAACATTTCCAAGGGACTCAATCATTATCTAAGTGGTAAGAGGAACATAGTTTAATGAGACGTCTATATGTACCCAGAAAATGTAAGTTTATTATAATGTTATATGTATGCTTGAGAAAGGGTGGTCTTCAGGTACTAGGTTGTTAGGGTCAATAGGGTCAATGAAGTCACACCATCTTACCTTATAAAGAGTGCCTAATATGCTCTGGGTTATTTCTTTCACTGTAGTGGGGTTTCATTGGTGTAGATGTTTTTTAAGGACTGTTCATTCTTAGGGCAGCATTTTGGGGATAAAAAGTGAACTTTAAAGTACTTTCACTTTACCATGTACAGCTACCTAGCTCTGGATAGAATTCACCTTTGCCTTCACAACTGCCTAAAATCTTAAACTGGCCACACATTTTTAGTTGTAAAAGATTCCTCCATCCACACAAACAAGGTGGATGGAGGAATCCCCATTCCAGTTTGACTTGAACGCCCCTCGTAGTTGAAGCTTACTACTCATGACTGTATAACCTGGTAAACTTTGCTAATTGATTAGTCTTATTTTATCAGTGTTCTGCTTTATGCATTAAAGTGTTACAAAACCCACAACAGTAAAATCACTCTATGCAGTAAAGCATGCTTGTTATACTCACTGTGGTATCTAAGGGGTTAATCCTCTGCATTGTGTAAAAAGGCTGTTTGATCCTTTCTTCTCTGCCCCTCCTCTGTTGAAATGACCACCTGATATAGACTGAATCTGTAGTCACATACACATGCTCAGTTTGGTGTGTATTGCTAGAGACTTTTCTTGTTTTCTTGGAAGGGTGCATGTGATCAGCAAAGGGCCAATCAGCACTGTCCAGACAGACGGTCAGAGGTTTCACATCCTCCTAGAGCAGAAAGAAAACTCCCACAAGCTTTAACCAGTGCTCTTCTGAAGTCACAAGACTGCTCTAACTGCTGGTGAGAAAAGGTATTTAGCAGTTTATATTTACTAAAATAATTGCATTTCCATGTTGTGTGTAGTGTGGGAGATCAGGTATAGTGA